TGTCTCTCTCTGTGTCTCTCTCTGTGTCTCTTTCTGTGTCTCTCTCTCTCGGTCTCTCTGGCTCTCTCGTTTTTCATCTTTCTCCGACGAATTTGCTCCTTGGTGCTACATTAGCAGAAGCATCCACAAATCCTGTGGTGATGGGAGTGTTAGGTACATTATTTTGAAGAGGTCGGCTCCCGGCACGCTGCTGCTCCGCCAGGGCCCAAACAAGTGCGCTACATCGCTGTGCCCCTGGGGCTGGGTCTGTTTCCAAATTGATCTTTCTGATGGCTCACCTTGTCGGCACGTCCACGCTGTCCAGAACATCTACAGACATTTTGCAATCTTCTTGGAAACATGCATTGTTGTGTGTGCGGTGCTAGCAACGGGAATCAGACAAGCCTGGGAAACACTTGCAGCGACGACACGACGGCGGTGATAATGGTGTTGGTGATGGCGGCTGCACAGCAAGAAGATGATGAGGATCATCATTGTCATCCTCCTTCCCGTCGTGCCGCAGCAGCAGCATCTGCAGCACCACCACCAGCAGCAGCACCACCAGCAGCACCACCACCAGCAGCACATCATCATCTTCATCACCACCACCACCACCACCACCACCACCACCACCACCACCACCACCACCACCACCACCACCACCACCACCATCCCAATCATCATCACCATCATCATCACCATCATCATCATCATCGTCGCCATCGCCATCGCCATCGCCATCGTCATCGTCATCGTCATCGTCATCGTCATCATCATCGTCATCGTCATCCTCATCATCATCATCATCATCGTGTCGTCGCTATTTTAATCATACGGATGAAATCATCATTCTTCTTGTCGTCTTCCTCATCACGTTCAAAGAGCCCCCAAGTAGGAGGTGAAGTGCTGATCAGTCCACGTCTCGGAGTAGGTGGTGGATTGGCTGAAGCCGGTTTGCGCCATCAGACACTTTGCGATCTGCCTTAAGTCTGGCCAGGTGCAGTTTTTCCACCTCGACGAGAAGGCTCTTTGGTGGAGACAGGGCCAATGCAGGTTTCGGACCGAACATGAATCCAAGCAGTTACCATGAATACGGCCGTCGGACAGGGCAGAAACCGAAGCCAAATCCACAGCCATGCTTGTCTTCTTGCAGGGTGGACGACCAGGGCACGGATCGTGGACGTGGTGCTGTGCGGCCGAAAACGGTCACTGGGCCCCAATGTGGGGTTTGGAACTAAGCCTCCGGGAAGTCCTAGTGAGATGGTGGGGTCTGGCCGAAGCCAAGGTTTCCGCAAGGCGGGCGGCAGAAGAACTGCTGGAGTCCGTGCGGCGGCGTGCCCTGGAGGCCACCTCAGGGCTACAAGCATAGCGCAAGTTCTCTGCTGCGCACGCAAGCCAAGGGTGCTTGAAGACGGCATCTGTCTGTTTGCTTTCGGCTCAAGGGGAGGGGAAACTTGCATCAATCTCTTGCTCTGCATACTCCCTTCATTCACGCTCACTAGAAACTAATCCTTGTGCGGGCCTTAGTGCAGATGCCCGCAGCGACATTCGCACGGGCGCGACTCCCGAAGCACCGAGGTTTGGGCTTCCAGTTTCCAAAATGGCTCGGACCTGAGTCTGAGTGCTCCAAGAGAGGCGCAACGGAGACACTCTCGCCGAGGCTGTAGTCTGTGGATCTGGGATGGATGAGAGGAGACCCCGGAAACGGAGACGCACGGAGAGACGATTCGACGGATTTTTTGCATCGCTTTGCAGACTTTGAGGACCCTCGCCATGGTGCAGGGCCTCTTTGCCGCGGCCCCACACGTGGCAGCGGGGGTTTGCAAATCTTTGTGGAGCCGGCTTGGGGTCTGCGGGATGCAGACACACTTCTCAGGCCATGATCTTTGGAGCTGCCGTCCTTAGTCTTTTGAGTGAAGCGCAAGTCTTTCCCAGGCAGGGGGCCTCTGTTGATCAGCTTTCAGCGCTGGCACTGACAGTCACTGACGTATGTGGGTTGGCGCGGCCTTGATTGCTTCGTGCTGCAGGCGCTGCGTATGCCAGACTGGTCCTGGGATTTATGGCTTCTGCGAGGTCGTGTCCCTAGAAATCCGTCTGCGTCGCAGGCGTTGGCAGATTTTGAGCCGCCAGGTGTGGCAAGATTGCCGCACGGTCATTAGCTTCATGATGGGCGCGCTGATATGCCACTGTACCAGATGCTCCAAAGGTGGGACCTTTGGTGCCGGATTGAACGGTTTCGAGTTGTCGCATGGTTCGGGTTTGGAAGCAGGAGATGATGATCACGAACCAAGTGGAAGGACAGACCCGCGTTCGTGCTCAAGTGCGGTGCCTGCTGAAGGCTCTTTGAAGAAGAGATTTTCAGAGCATGGCTCCAAATCTGACAGGAAAGGGCTCCATCTGTCCATGATTTGGTGACAGCACGTCCAGTGCTCTCTTTAGTCCCTTTTGCAGCAGCCTCGGACGGAGTTGATGTTGCAAGAGTCCTGAAGCATGGCAGTCCTCCGGTCAAGGTCGACGATGTCTTGCGTTGATTCAACGCGACTTGCACAAGCCTGGCGATCCAGGATATCGACCAGGCTAATTTCCTCTTGGGACTTGCACTGATAGTGTTGCAATTTTTGGCGAAAAGACCTCGAGCTGGCTAGCTAGGCCGCTGGCCCAGCCCGAGGCTGAAATGCCCAAGGTGGGCGAATTTAGAGATTCTAGGAGGGCCCAAATGTCCAAGGGCACCAAGGCAGGGCCTCAGGGAGTTTTGTTTTTCGTGTTGTCGTAGTCGTAAACTTCCGACTGAGTGGGGGTTTCGCTTGAGGAACGGCCTTGGATCCCTTGCAAAATGGATAGAGCTTGCTGCGAAAAGCAGTGCATGGTTCTCTCCACCCGTTTTAGCATGCCGTAATGCCGTAAAGTGTACTGCCACCTGCTTGCAAAGCTGCGGGTTGATACACTTCCATACCAGGTAGTCCGTCTATAGTATGTCCACGACCGTTTTCTCTTTCTCTCTCTCTCCCTCTATATTTTAACTTCTCTTGTTGGGCATGGAGAAATTCCCATCGCCCAAGATCCCTTTCCCGAGCGCCCGCAATTGCGGGTTGATTGGGAGCGGTTCGCATGGAGGGCCCTTTAGCAGGAATGGCGAGTCAAGATACCCGGAGCTCGAAGCCTTGAGAGCCCGCGTTCCGTAGCTCGTAAGTGGTCATGAGTCATAACTCCCAGCCATTCTCCTGCCATCTTCCACGGGATCCGCAGGCAAAGGGGTAGAATTCCGACCAAAGTGGCCGATGAGCCAGTTTGCAAGGATGGCATTCAAAATCCCCAGCATCTCCGCTTCGGGGCTTCGGGGCTTGGGCCGAGAGCGAGAGCAGCAAGAGCAGCGAGAGTGTTTCCGGGGCAGGCGGAGGTGGACCGGCTGCGCTCCGAGCTGGCCTCCACGGAGGCCGCGAAGCAGCGGCTCCAGGCAGCGAGAGCCACGGCATTGGCGGCGTTGGCGTGTTTCGGGTTTAGCGATGCGGCGAGGCTGACGAGGCCGCGGAGGCAGAAGCCGGGGCGGAGGCGGGTGTCACGCTGTCGGCAAGAGGCTCCGAATTCCAGGTCGTGAGACCGAGAATCAAAGCCGCAGGCAGCGAGGCTGCTTCGCGAGGCCCGCCTGGAGGTGACACGCCTCAAGGCAGCATTGCAGAGGCTGGAGAACTCAGGGTGAGTTTCACCGGGAATGGTGTCGGATCGAGACGAGGGCATTCGTTGGTCACTGTCAAGTTGAAACCGAGTGTTGATTGGCGGAGTTTGTTTGTTCTGGGTTGGACGAGCGTACGCTACCCGGCGATCGGAGCTTACTGATGACTCGGGTATGACATGTTGATCGCTTGTGGTCTTGCTGCTGAGCACTACGGAAGTACACAAGTCATCGTCAGCATCGGCAGCATAGTCATCATGATCCTCATCGTCATCGTCATCGTCATCGTCATCGTCGTCATCATCATCGTCATCATCATCGACATCACCATCACCATCGACATCACCATCACCATCACCATCACCATCACCATCACCATCATCATCATCATCACCATCACCACCATCAACATCACCATCAAGATCACCACCAGCATTAGCATCACCACCGCCATCACCATCAGCACCAGCACCATCATCATCAGCATCATCTTCCTCCTCCTCCTCATCATGATCATCTTCTTCATCTCCATCCATCACCATGATCATCCTCCTCCTCATCATCTTGTTCATCACCATCCATCACCATCACCATCACCATCACCATCATCATCATCATCATCATCATCATCATCATCGCAGTTCCTGTTATTTGTACTCATCTCAGAACCCTAGACCCCGCAGCTCGGCATTTCTCGAGTCTTCACCCTTGGCATGAGCCTTCGAGGCAGACAGGCAACGACAAGCTCATGAAGGAGGCCAGGCGTAACGACGACAACCACGCGTCCTCCTCCCCTCCTACTACTACTACTACTGCTACTACTGCTGCTACTACTACTACTACTACTACTACTACTACTAGTGCAAGCACTAGTACTAGTACTAGCACTAGTACTACAACCACCACCACCACCACCACCACCACCACCACCACCACTACTGCTACTACTACTACTACTACCACCACCACTACTGCTACTACTACTACTACTACTACTACCACCACCACCACTACTGCTACTACTACTACTACTACCACCACCACTACTACT